TTCATGGGTAGTTATAAGTAGGTTATAAGTAGGGTAACTATACATATAATCCATACAGTATTCGGGGACTTATAAACCCACTTATAACTACTCATGAACCTCCAAGTGAGCACGCTTCAACTGTCAACGGCAGCTCGCCCTCTACAGCCTTGCCCCAAAGGGTCCTATGTACTGTTATGGGGGATACTTCCTCAAATCATAGTAGTAGTGCCTTATAGAAACCCTACATTCTACTATATAGGTACTTTGGACCCTCTGCGTTCGTAATAACTGCATGGCCTCCGGAGTTCCCACGATGGCGCAAATGGACCGCAGCCTCGGCAATCGAGCCAACGGAATTGGCGTGGAATTGGCGTGAACATTTGGCCCCTCAACTACTGACAGGTTTAGGCTTTATAGGGGCAAAGCCTGAGCAGGAAATCTATGCAACGGAAGAAGCATGAGGTCGGCTCTCATTCGGGTGGTGCCCATACAACCCAGAGCCCGGCCTGCAGATCTTGGTGCGTGGTTAAGGGCATGTGCAAGCTGAAAGCTCTCTGTACCCTGGCATTTGGAGCTTCAAATGTCCGAAGTGGCAGTTGAGTTCAAGGGGATGCGACGAGACCCCGAGGGAGAGAGAGAGAGAGAGAGACCCCGAGAGAGAGAGAGAGAGAGAGCGAGACACAGAGAGGTAGATCTGGAGAGAAGACCAGAGTGGTAGTCAAGGAGTGTGTGAGAGAGGTACAATTTCTTCTGTTATATGTTTATACATTTACACATGTATATATACATACATACATACATACATACATACATATATATATATATATACATATGTATGTGTGTATAGATACATACAGATGGATAGATCGATAGATAGACACATAGATTCAGATGTGCACATACGTACATGAAACCAACGATTGCACTTCAGCCTGCAACTTCACATCCTGGTGAACAAACCCGCCTCGCGCCCCATCCCAGCCCTCCCCGCCCCCCTTCCAATCAACGAACCCAAGCGGCTGGTCCAAGAAGTCCGCCCCACGGAACATCGGTGCCCGACTAATGAGCTCTCCGAGGATGCATCCTGCCCGGTAGTTACGGTTTACAGGGCATTGGGCTGAGCGCTGGAGAGCTTGCTTACCATACGCTCTAGTCTATGTGCCTCAAGATATGCACACGGTCCAGGTTTAGGTTGTGAAGCGGTTCGAGTGTTGGGGTCACGGATGTTCGGGCCAATTAGCATGGACTGTGCGTGGCTGTTAGTGGCTTCGCGTGACTAGAGGTGGACGGCTAGGCTTACCCGTAGGCTTCTTTCTGTGGTTAATGTTTGGGGCTTAGGGCTATGTTTGATAAAGGCTCTGCAGATACCGAATATCCCACACAATCCGAGCCCTGCCGCTGCAAGCTGAGGAAATTCAACTCCTCGAAGTCCGACGCCAGTGGGACTAGAACTAGAACAAAAAAGCTGACAGAGAGCATGCAGGTCTTGTTTTGCGAAGCCATCACTAGGTCTTGAGATCACTAAGAGTTTTACATTGCTTCAGGGTAGAGGCTCAACGGCTTCGGGTCGGCAGGTATCGTAAACCCACATGAATCTAGACCCGGGTGGAACGAGGGCGGCTCACGGCTTTTCTTGTCTCCGACAGTCCGAGGAACACCGGAGGATCGTGCGCAGAGTACCAGCCAACCAGACTCGGGTTCTGGCACGAGCGGCGAAAGTAGCTCTGATCGAAAGTGGCCACATCTCGAAGAGACGGTCCATGTTGGACGATATCGTATGCCCTGAGGTGCACAAGTACGCAACCTACAAGTAGCTAGCTACCTAGCTACACGCAAACCCCCAAAACAAACAAATTGAGGAATAAACCAACAGACGCACACAAACACACACACACACAGACACACACACACACACACACACACACATACACCTACATGCACAAACGTCGGCACACCTCCACAAGCACAGCGATGTGCCCTTTCTTCCTCTCCTCACCACCTACTGCGACAGCCCGACACGACAGACCTCTATCATACACAGATACACAACCGAAGCCTCAAAAGATCGAGACGCAGTGCCCAATCTGCCTGCGCTCCACATGTCTACTGCCGCCGTGTACTCCCTCGAGGTAAGGATGACCTCCCAGCGGAGCAATCAGAGGAACCGAAGTGCCATAATCGAAGAAGACACTCCTGGACTAGAGTTCCATCACAGACACCGCTGTTGTGGCTATAACTCTGTATACGTACACTCTCAACTGGTAAGCGGACCCTCTGACAAGCTGCGATGCTTGGGTGTCTGCATTCCTACGAGTGCCAAATTCGTTCGGGGATTTTGGTCGTCGAGCTGTAGCCGTAGGGTTTTGGTATGCTTAGGATCGAGGCAAGACAGAAGCCACTTGGACGCCAAGTAGAACACCTGCATCTTCTGATGCCGTTGATTTCCGCAAGCATATTGCACATTAGCACCTGGCAAACTAAGATGTCACGGCATTCTTAACAAAAACCCTGTTCGATTTCTGCAGTTCTTGTTGACACAAGTGAGTTTCTTGGCAAATGCCACGCCTCTGGCGCTCTATACCAGCGTGTGCCGACATACTCCGTCCGGAGCCAGGTGTCATCGTCCTGATCGAAGCCTGCACGTCCTGGGTTGAAGGCTTTGGGATTGCTTTGGGAAAATGCTGCGTCAGGGTGGCTACGGTCTTGATGGCTTCTGGATGTAATTAGGGTACGAGTACATGCTGGGGCATGAGAGGCGACGGGTGCAGGAATGCAGCACTTGGCGGCAAAGGTCCAAGAAGCGGGCAAATTACAGCAATTGGGTGCGAGACGAGGTTTTCCGAAGTTCCGATGTCAGGACTCTGGCTTTGTGCTGCTTCTGAGCTTGGCTTGGCTCCGAGGTCCCAGTCACGGTTCTCAATCAGGTTGGGCTGGCATCATTGAAACCTCCTGAAGCGTTTATTCGCACACAGCCTGGCAAAGGCACGGCTGCGGTGGAGCGGCGGGGCTTCCATTACTGCAGCCGAAGGTTCAACGTGCATCGAGGATTGAATCCCGGAAGACAAATTTCTGAAAGCCCACCACCGTTACATCATCAGGACTATTGGAGGGAATGACACTTGCTAGTGACTTAGTGCCACATTCACAGCTATTGCTCTAGACTCTAGACATCAGAAACGGCTGTTGGGCACAGAATAAAACCTGACACGCAGGGACACTTCTCTTGCGGTCTTCAGCGGCCTCTGGCGAGGCCGAAATCGCAAAGCCTGGCATGTTGAAAAACCAAACTCACTAAACCGACCAGGTTACACAGCCAAGAACGCCACAATCATGAGTTTATGGTAGCGATCACGACAATCATTCTTACTGTTGCTTGGTTGCACGTAGGTGCTTACACAACTGTATCTATACACCTAAACAAAAATCTCGCATACATACATACCTATCTACCTGCATTCATACCCCAAGCCTGCACCCCAAAGGCCAGAGCCGAACCCCAAACCAATACTCCGGAGGCAGGCAGTGTTACACTCCGAGATGCGATCACTGCGTAGGCTCAAGTTATGAAACAGGCTGCTAGGACTGCCAGGCGATATCCTGCTTTACATGCAAAGCGAGTAATTGTCAATGAATGAAAATGAATGACACGGGCAAAATCTCGGGACTAACCGGTTCACTTGGCAAAAACAACAAGATGCAAACGGATTCATCGAACGCTGGGCTCTTTGCTCCTAACTGTTTGGAATCGAAACCCTGGCTGCTTAACATGGCCTAACCCTATACCACCGAGGCGCTTGATGTCACAGTTCTTGTTTACCTGAGCGACACGGATGCCCTCGGTCTCCTAGCTGCTGGCTGCAGCCCGAGCGTGCACTCAAGGTGGCTGACACCCCAAGCGCTGCTAGGCCCAACAGACTTGCAGCGTGGTTAGTTGGCACTCACCGGGCTAGTTACAGCATACCGTGCTGCAAGAATATAGCAATTTGGCTAACCAATTGTGAGGTTCCCGGTTGAGTCTGGAGATTTCGGGTTATAAGGTTGAGGTGTTCAAGATTTCAGCTTAGCATTCAGCTTCCCTCACCTGATTTTGAGGCGCTAGACACCCCCCCCCCCCCCCACCCCCCCCCCCCGCCGCCCTTCGACCCTAAACAAAAAATCCCCTGACCTCAAGCCCGAAGTAGAGAGCCAGTATGTCCTCAACCCAAACGCCAAACACACGCATAAACTGCGGCCAAAACACCAGAACATTCAGAGGCTTCAGATCCCTGTGAACCACATTGGCAGAATGCAAGTACCTTGGCCAAGCGAAGCTCGTAAACGTGGTCCTGTCGTGCTTTTCGCCTGAAAAGCTCCAGCATTTTCAAATTTTGGAACTGCGGATGTTGGATAATTGCTGCTGCTACTCGTAGTAGAAGTAGTTGTTGATGTGTTTCTGGTTCCGAGCCTGAGTGCAGCCTTGAGGGTAGGTTTCATGGACAGTGTTCGCGGTCGACAAGCTGACTTTCACACCTGGACCCAGAGACTGCCGAGCGAAGGAAAAGGATGAAACCCAGGGGGCACGTCATGGGCAACTGCTGCAGGTGCACACAACAGTGGCCTTCTAAGACTCTTCTAAGGCAAACAGGAACGGTTGAAGACAAGCGATAATTGTCTCTCCAATACTGGGGCGCCTGAGACCCTCGCGTCACCAAGCTGCTGGCACGAGACTTTTGTAGCTCGGATGGTTTCGGTCTCGAAGAGGTTGCAGTGAGCAATAGTGGAAAGGTAAACGCATGCTAAGTTGGAACACGCTAGCAAGCTAACACATGTTTAGAAGACCCAGACAGATCAGACATATCATCAGGACGACAGCTGCGAGCTGAAAGCGCCCAAGCGAACAGCAGAAACAAAAAGGCAACTCGAAACAACTCATGTTCCCTCTTGCTCATGTGTTGAAACGGCTTAAGCCTCCACGAGTTTCCCCTCGCTGGTCAAGACAGGTCGCAGCAGGGCGCGCAAGATCTGGTAAATGAAAAATTGAACGTGGTCTTCGCCTGCACGCACAAACGTGAAAGGCAATCGGGATCTGCTTGCAACTGACCGGTGAAAAGACGTGGGATTTCAGATCGCTTTTCTCTCAGGAAGATATACCATGGTATGCCCAAGGCATGGACTCGCATCGACTTTAAGTTTACCATCTGGGGATTGGGGCTTAAGAAACATGCATCGTTTATTTGCGTTGGGTGGCGGATGTATGGAAATCTGACGGCACCGGTCTTGCATGTGATTCTGGAATGTAGAGGGTTCTGAATGCGCTTGAACGGACGCCACCCAAACCTGAAACGTTAAAGAAGAAAGCTAAGGGTGGTGGGCAAGTGCGCATCGGACGAACTCTGAGCCCGCAAGGACCTCTGGCATGTGAAGGGTCAGGATACTGAGACTTCCGTCATGATACGTAGGATGACGGCAGTCCTGCTCAAAAATTGGCCCGCGTTGTATTAGGGTACCATAACCCTAGTTACAGCTCCTGAACAGAAACTTTCAATCAAATCACAGTGGAATCCCTGAACTGCCATTTGGCTTCTAACCTCCCACTCACGGCAAGGCGCTGAGGGGCTGGTCAGAACAAATCACCGTGTGCAGATCTGCATCCATGAGCTCCGTCACCAGGTAAACCTCGGACCCGATTTGGTCCCTAAGCCTGAACCCTGAACCCAAGTCGCCCTAGTCCGGACTTTAGGGGTTCGAGGGCTTTACGTCCGAGACCAAACCTTACTGAGCTGCGATGCCTCGAAACAGGGGTTGTTCTCTAAGTTAGCGTCCGATCGGGAGGGCCTGCAGGTATTTTGAGTTGGCTCTTGTTGAATCGGGCACAGGATAGGAAGGCCCAGTTCCGAACAGTCAGAACTTCTATGGACTTGGCTACACGTTGGTGAGATGTGGCATTCAACATTCGGAAGGACAACCTTTCACTCTGTGCCAGAAGGGACAGAGAAAGAGCTAGCTGCTGGAAGGACCACTAATCAATTAATGCCTGAACCCCGAATTGGAGGCTGCAGTGAACCCGCCTCGGTGAACACAGTGGAAGGTGGCTCAAGCACCTGCCAAGAAGAAGACTCTGAACTCTTAGCTCCGTAGGCCCCGGTACCCCGAGTCCTGTTGCGTACATCGCGAAAACATGCCTCGGAATCCCTAAGCCGTGAACTTAAAACCCTGAATTCCAGACCCTTATAACCGCGAACCCAGTTCAAAAACCGATTGGTAGCTGGCCGAACGGGAAAAAAAACTTGCAGTGTGCGTTGGGTTAAGGGGGGAGGGGTCAGGTCAGACTTGGGTTCAGGCTTGATGACTTAGGGCTTCAGGCTTTAGGGACTGACATAGCATCCACGTCCTGATCTAGCAGTTAAACATCAAGTTACACACACACCCACACACACACACACACACACGCAAAGACAGACACACGCGCGCACACACACACACACTCGCACGAGCGCGCACGCTCACACAATCACCCACTCACGAACAATATCCTGCTCATGCACACGACAAACATGCAAGCAACAAAAGGGCCCATGGCTATTTCCCAAACCCGAATGCCACAAGGCTCAAGCCTGTTGGGTACGATGTTCGGCTCTGTTGTGTTGGGGTTTCTGTCTGAGGCTTGTGGGTATTTCGGCTCTGGATTTGCGCGGCTCAGGGGTCCGATAGGTAGTTCCCGCGATCCCCAAAGCTTAGGCGTCCCGCAAACACTCTTGGAGGAAAGAGGAAGGGAGGCAACCTTGACAAGCTTGATGATGCACTCATGCTCCAGCATGCTCAACCTCGGGCTTCGGTGAAGAGGTTTACTTCAGGGTCTCACTCGCTGGCTTTCTTCTCATCGTCATTTGGAACCCAGGCTCTGCTGATCGTCATACTATGCAAACCCTAAACCCTGAACTAACTCCCCCGATCCTGTTTGGGCTCTCTGCTCATGGTGCTGGCTGCATCTAAGCATCCGGCTTCCTTGCGCTGTATGGTTTTGCTCTCTGAAAGCTCGCCGATGTGAATTGGTACTGTATATAGGGGCCTTAATGAGTTGAGCAGGGTTTCGGGGCATAGTATGGTACTGTTTCCTTATAATGAGGCAGCCTAAAGACGTACACTAAGTACCAACCATGCAGGCGCGTTGTATCACGCGGAACACACTACTGGGCTGAGTAGGTCGAGGCTTGAACTTCCGAAGCCAGCGACCCTCACTGCCAAGATACCGATAGGCACCTCAAGCCAGTTGATGTTTGTCTGCACAGCCCCTTTCAAGCCCTATACTCGCCTGCAAAACAGAACTTGGTGATACAGGACGTCTTTCTCGCCGCCGAAAAGCTTCTGCCAACACGAGACCAGAAACCCTAGACGACTAAACTGCCTAAACCCTTGTTTTGAAGCGGGGCTGTGCAGCTATGCCTGCCCCTCCAACCCTGAGCTACCTAAACCCAAACCCCAGGCAAGGCACAGCTTGATCTCTCTCAAGCATCGCTTGGCCTGGTCATTGTGAAGGCTTTCTGCTTAGGATTTGGGGCTTAATGTTGAGGGTTTAGGGCTGTACGAAAAGGGTCGAGAGCTTCGGATGTAAGAGCTTACAGGGTCTTAGTGTTCAGGGTTGCGGGTTGCTCCAACTGTTTCCACATATGTCAACCTTCCACGGCGCTCGCGCTGTCAGATGCCAGGTGCAGCATGTGCCGTGCTCTTGAGAATCACTGGACGTGCGGTCACATGCGAGTTCGTCCCAGCCAATGTACCATCACGGACCGCCAAAGTCACAAGATTGTGCAGAGTGAGGTAAGTACACGCCTCGTGGCATAAGTTATGTCGAGTGAGATGCACTGCCAGCTTGAATAACAGTGTGACCGTGGACAACGTGAACCCCGACCCGCAAGCCACCAAGAGCTCGGACAATCTCCGCCCGGACCTCCACTGTGTTTCTGCATGGGTTCGGGATCTTCTTCACCGCAAACTCCTCGTGAAAGATGAGAATCTGCTCTATGGGGCTCTAGGGCACAGGAACAGGGGTCAGCAGGTATCCAAAACTGGTCCATGGTTTAGAACCGTATCGGCTGCGTATCGGGAACATAGGGATTCCGAGTTGCGCACGCAGCATTAAGCACCGACTGAGGCTCTGTTCACGCAGTTTTAAACCCAGTCCTCCCCCGTTCGATCATCTCGGAAGGCGGAAACGGCTCCGTATGTACCCTTGCCTTAAATCGGCGCAGTCGCAAGGAATCGCAAAGGACCCGCATGTCTGTGACCTTCTGGCCGTACCCAGAACTCCAACCCACGGATAATGGCAGCAAAAAGCCCAAGAGTTTTGAAGTGGTTCTCCGCACAGCATACTGAGAAATAGTGGCCCAGAAGCCCAGGACTCGTATCAGCGAAAGGTGGTCGGGGACTCGAAACGAAGTACCGCCCGCCTGGTGACGATGACGAGAAATGGAACAGACACACACACACACACACACACATATATATATATATATATATATGTGTGTGTGTGTGTATATATATATATATATATATATATATATACAGACACATATGTATATTTATACATATACACACATACGTTTGTGTGCGTATGTGTATATATGTATGCATACACATATGCATGTCGGTATATATCTTTATATGTATCGATGTACGTCTGTTCAAGTGCATGTGTATGTCTGCACGTAGGTAGGCAGGTATGTGTGTATACGCACATATATATATATATATATATGTATATATGTATGTATGTATGTATGTATGTATGTATGTATGTACACACATAGCTATGACAGTATATAGCGATGTAGTTGCATAGTTCTATGTTTGCATAACTATGCAGGTATAGAAATACCTATATTTCTGTCGGTACATCCCTCTGAACCTGCAGAATTATAGTTGCAGAACTACATAAGTATATTGTTCTATACATAATCTCGGTATACCTATTATATATATATATACACATATGTATATATATATATGTAGACATATCATACACCGTTATCTGTATTCGGATGATCGCCTGACCGGTGCGAGCGGTATCTCCGGCTCCGTGCCCCTGACATTACCAAAACAAAGAACCCATCGGGTTAGGGTTTAGGGTTTAGGGTTAAGGGATTAGGGTTAAGGGATTAGGGTTTAGGGATTAGGGTTCAGGGTTCAGGGTTTAGGGTTAAGGGATTAGGGTTAAGGGTTTAGGGCTTAGGGTTTAGAGGGTTTTAGGGTTTAGGAAGATTCGCCACAGCCCTTGTGCGAACCCTCTCAGCGACCGAGCCTTGTGCTCCGCTATCCTTGGATGCAGCAAGCTTGGCTGAACAAGGTTGACACCTTCCTTTCAGAAACCTGGTCGGTCAGGCCTTCAGAGCTCTGGGTGTGAAGATCTTGCTGCCTTTAGAGTGGCAAATCGTAGAGACTTGAGAAACCTCGCCGTACTTCACAACTTGACTAATTTTATCTGGAAAGCCACCGCTCGCCACAGAGGTCTCCTTGATGCAATCGTAGCAGCTAAGCATGACGGCTTAGAATGCCCAAGCAACCGACGCGTTCGAACCCTGAAGCCAAACTCAACGCGAACAACTCAAAGGCACCCGATCCCTACATCTCAGTTTTTGAGGTAGGAGTCCCGGGAGGCAAGACTTCCTCTGCCGGAGCCGACTCCACCGCCGACGGATCGTCGTTCCAGGGTGGGTGGCAGGCCATGCTAATGGGACCGCAGTTTAAGTTTAGACTTACCCTAAAGTTCTAAAGCTGACTTCAACAGCTATCCCAGGAGCGTGCGGTTGAACCGAACATGGTGCAGGAAGCACATGGGCTGGAGTTGCGTGTCAACCGCGCATTGACCTGGGTCATGTCAGGTTATGGAAAAGTCTCGCTTCGTGCAGCAATCGCTGAAATATGCTGAAATCAAATTACAGGTCTTTTTGGATTTACCCAACTTGCCATGAGCGGATACAACATGCGATGGTCATCCGGCACTTAAATGGTTGTCATGTCCATTCATACTCTTCGTCGTCATGGTACTTGAGAGCATCGCGGCAGCGAGGCACATGCATTCATTCTTATATGTGGGGTATTTTCCTTAGAGAAACAATGCGTCTGCATGTGTACTGCCAACTTCAGTTCCAAACCTCGGAAAGCTTCGGGCTTCGATAGCGCCCTGACGAGTGCAACTCGGCCAAGATATCCGAAGATGTTAGCTCCTGCCTGCAACGAATGAGCGCAGTATGTCTAAACACAACCTGTGTATGACCTGCCAATGCTTGAACCTCAAACCATCCAGCTTGCAGAATCCGCCGTGCTTGAAGAGCCTTGCAAAAGCTGGCTTGCAAGCGTGCGACATGCTACAGGAGCCCCGCCCCTTCCAACAGGCCGAGAATGGCGCGAGCGCCGTTGCACTTAAAAGTACCAGCCCGGCAAACATGCCGCACAAAAGAGGTACACCTCCTATCTACTGATCCGTGGAAATTTTATGGCTTGTATGACTGCGCCCAGCGAAAACTGTCTGCTTTCACGTCGCCTTTGACCCCAGCCTCGATAATCAGTCAGTATTCCATTGCTCCATGTCTTGAACCTGTCGACACCCTCCCGGTGAGGACGGGTCCTGCATCGTCGTCCTGCTTTATGCTCACTGACGGAGCGCGAGGAGTTAAGCCTCAGGCTCAGGATCTAAATACCCCACTGCAGCCACTGCTCTCCGCATCGTCCCCACATTCACATGCATACTTAGCAGACTTAGCATCTCCTAACACAAATCCCCAACTTGTAATCGGTCGGATCGTTCTGGACGCCTAAATTTCGGAGCCTTTCGTCGGGTGCCCTTGTACACCTGTCATAGCCCACTCGTGTGGCACGTGGTACTATCATTTGCAAGAAGGCTTCGGCTCATCGAACAAGCATTTGGTCGCTTGCCGATCTCAAGTTCAGAGACTTTCGTGAATCGCTGCGTGTTCGTGCCAATTTTCGTGATAGTGGCTTTCTTCTTGAAGCCCATCTTCCAATAGTGGTAACCCTGCAGGAATCCTCATTGCTCGGGCTGTTGGTGCTCGGGCTTCGCGATGATGCTTCTGGCTTTGGGAATGTTCAGTCTCCTGGATGTAACGATAGCTTGGTTCCTGAAAAGGAGCCCTCGTCTAGCTGGCTTCTTGTTTAGGAACAAAATCGAAGTTGCTACGGTAAGCAAAACATATTGTGTAGTATAGGTCGCTATTGTGGAACTTAAATTCAGTTCCTTAACAAGAACCCAGTGACTCGTCCATGTTTGCGCAGGCAGTCGCGACCAGGGGGGAAACCCCCTTATGTCGGACTTCACTTGCAAGATTCGGGGCTTGGGGATATCTGGCGCCACAGCCCAGGTACGCTAAACATTTATATCGGTTAAGACACCGGAACTGCATCCCTCGACGAGGCCCGTACGTACGCAGGCGCCTGCATAGAGAGGCATCTCCTCGTCCATGGAGAGCCAACGCCTTATTCGGGTGGGCTCCGGATTTCTGGGTTTGGGAGGACTGTGGTTAAGTCGGGTTAAGGGGCGTTGAAATCCAGGGGTTGAGGGCTGAGGGCGGTGTGCTGTAGGCTTTAGGGCAGCTTGTTCAAAACTTATTCGCTGTCTTGCTGTAACTCTCTCAAGCAAAAGGACTTGACCAATATAGGGGCCTTAATAAGTAGGGGCCCATTAAATTATAACTATGCTAATAGTATTATTAAGGCCCCTATATTATGTATGTCGGCATCTTGTAGGACGGACCATCCCACCCACCACTCCTCCGGGACGGTCGCAACACGGCTGCATGTTCTTCTCTCTGGAAAAAACTTTTGGAACCGAAGTTCAAACCGCAAACAGATTGCTACGAAAGCCGCTGCAACTGAAACCCAAGCTACAAAACACCATGTGCGCGAGCCGAAAGCCAACGAACATGGAAGTAAACGGGAAGCCCTTGCTGACTTGCAGCTCCATCCAAACTACAGCTTCGACACTACGTGCTGAAAACTCCCGTGGCTTCATCGTTCCACAGCTTTGCAAGGCCCGGCGCTGCCGGACTCCGGGAACGCTGTCACAGCTCCAGAGCCGCAAGGGGGGCCTTGAACCGAGAAATCCCCGGGATTTGGACAGTTACGGTATAGTACTCCTTTAAGGGTCCCTTTAAAGGGATCTATAGGGATTCTATGAGGGTTTAGGGTTCAGGGGAAGTTATGAGTGGGGTTATGTCCCCTAATATGGGGTATAAGTCTAGTTACCCTACTTATAACCCTATTTATAACTACCCATGAACCTCCAAGTATAGCAGTATTACTGCATGGTAGTAACGTCGTGTTGGTATAAGAGACATGTAGTCTTATTGTGTATCTATTTCTCGATATCTCTCGTTCGCAGGTTGACCGCGCCCAACGACATGGTTTGGATCCACGGTGTTCATAACAGCTGGATGCGGTTCGCACGATGAGTCCCACACCTTGAAGTCCAAAACCCAAACCCAGAGCTCAGGGCGACAGACTGATGTTCAGAACAAAGTACGGGCCCCATAGGGTTTACGGCCTGGGGTTAGAGGGGTGTGGGGCTTCGTGCGGAAAGCGCACACACACATGATAGAAATCTTGGCTAGGTTGGCAGGAGTCTCAGCGGCCGGTTTGGATGTTTCTCCAAACCTGCAGAAGGCTGCACTCGATTTTAGATTCAAGCTTGCGCTCTGGGCTGTCAAGTGGGACTTGTGCAGTCTCATCTGAGGCTCTAGGTCTGGCTTTTCCCTCGATCTTTGCAGGGCTTGGGTCTGGGGCTCACGGTAGCGGGCTCATCAGGGTTTGGGATTTTATATTCGGGGATCGGAGAGGGATGCGGCGCTTAGATTCTACTAGAACTTATACCCTCGATGCCCGACCAGAGCCATGAAGCCCACCTTTCCTTACCTTTGGTTAGTAGGGAACGGAGGAATGGGTTACAACTATAACTACTATTACTACCATGCTTCCATTCCCTACTAACCAAAGGTAAGTTTCAGCGTCTGCGGCCATGGCACATGGACTCTTCAGGCCGGCCTGGCACTGCGGTCAGACTTGGGGCAAGTCTTGAGGTTCAGGGGTTTACGGGGTTTAGGTTTAGGGGTTCAGGGCTTCAGTGATTCAGGGGTTTAGGGGTTCAGGGGTTTAGGGTTTACACATGTTTACACTCTCGCAACCCGGACACTCCAGGCGAGGCCTATCGGGTGCTGGCAGAAGCGTGGCTGCCTGCTGCCAGGGTTTAGGGTTTACGGGCCGGAAGACCGTGGCTTCTGACAATGCGAGAGCACCATCACTAGACCCAGTACCGAAACACGCTCCCCTCAGGGCCAGTACTGCATGCGAAGCCTCCACCAACATCTCTGAAGACATATTAGTTCACCCAAGAAACACCCCGAGAAGCTGCCTCCAGCCGTAAGGCAGAGATCTGGTCGTGCTCGAAGCCGCAGGCTTCCATCCGGATGCCACACCTTTGCGTTTAGGGCTTTAGGGATGTGGGGGTTTAGGGATTTATAGGGGTTTAGGGATTTGGGGTTTTCCGTGCTCACACCAGGCGAGGCGTTGGGGTTTAGGGCTCGTCCGCGGCTTAGGGCCAAAGACCTCAAAGGAGGTTGGGGCAAGAAACCGAGCTAGTTCAGCTGAAGGTGCCCAGGTCTGGTTGGAGACTTCCAGAGGTCCGCTGCCACAAGGTCGCACACACAGGCCATCATCTGCGTACACTTAGAGGATCATGGGACTTAGTAAGTAGGGCTATAAGTAAGATAACTATAGTTATATCTACTTATAACCCCAATTATGGTACTTATAACCCTGCCTACTAAGTCCCATGATCCTCCAAGCAGGGCGACTTCCCGCTTCTTGTTCCATGTCCAGATACAGGGGTGCCAATCATGACCATCACAACGACAAAAACACTCCTGTAGTAGCCTCCAGACAAAATCGAATTCCGAGACAAAGGACTCAGGAATGAAACCCAGGGCCTTCGGGAAGATTATGAGAGCCTTGGAGGCTCTTCCAGGACAACGCTCACGAACAGAACGACTGCTGCACTTCTGATCAAGATCCTGCTGTATATCATTATGACCGGTACCATGAGCATGAACTAAAAATCTAAACCCTAAACCCTAAAGGGCTCTCAGCTCTGAATGGGTGCTGGAATCCTTAAGGAGAAAGCCCCACGCCAATCACCAATCTCCTTCTCACAACGTGGCAAACACAAGGCCGCAGGCGAAACACCGGAGATCTTTGCAGTCCAAAGCCCTTCTTCCAGAAATCCTGGAACCTCCCCTCCAATCCATGCCTGGCACTCTCTGCCTTGGGCTTCGAAGACTCCCGACGTCCACATCTTAAACCCTAAAACCCGGAACTGGAACCTCCCTGACCCTGTGCAGCCTTGCCTCTGTAGGGGCTATCAGCGCACAGGTGTGCAGTCAAACAAGACCTTCGGTGCGACCAAGACGTGGAGACGACTAGCTGTAGGGTGTACTGCTCTACGTGAGGTTTGTATGGGTATCACACACACACATATATATATATATATATATATGTTTCTTCATGTCTTCATGCATGTATCTGCGTGGCATCTTTGCGTCCGTCACGATTCACTCACGACCGTCTCGAATGCCCAGGACTACAGGCAAAGAACTATCTGGCCAGGGCTTAGGGCTGCAAGTTGAAGATGCTCACACTCGGACGCTGCCAGGCAAGGTCCGATGACCAACGACTCATCGCTGTCAAGTGAAGTTAGGACAACCCGAAGGGTCCTATGTACCGATATAGTAGAATGTAGCGGTTTCCATATTAGGAATTGGTACTATGACTTAGGGAAGTCTCCCCCGTAACAGTACATAGGACCCTTTGAGCAAAGCACAAGCACAGGTACCAACCAGTACCAAGAACCTCATTGGCAGCAACCTCACCTCCGGACAAACGGCTCTATGACCGAAAGACCGCATGCCCTACTTGGTCCGGGAGCAAGGAGTTGTTGAAATTGCATCCAGTCGGATGATCATTCGCCAAAGATGCATCGAACGAAAGTAACTCGAAGATTTACATAGGTCCACCGGCAGACTGAAAATCCAGGTATCGAAAACTGACACTTGCAACCCCATGCAGATGGTCAATTCGTAGGCTGTGAGATGGTGTCGTTGCTCAGTGTTAGCAAAGTGCAACCTCCAACACCCGCATGACCGCATGCCGTAAAACCTTGAAGCACCAGACAACCGACACAACCCAATCCCTGATGCCGTATGAGCTGAACTCTACTGACTCTACTGCCACAAACTAGTAGCGAGGAGTTTCTTTCGGCCTGCATTGTGTTTTACGTCGCTGCCCTTAGCTCTCAAAAGCGTCAAGACCCCAACTCGGCAAAACAGTTGAACGTGTCACGAAGTTTGACATTATGGCATGGCCGCCTCTGCAAGTCCCATATCCAGCAACTGCGGTTTTCCCAGCTTTCACTTCTCCATCGGCTGCTCTTGCTTACCAACATATCTCGTCGCAAACGCAGCATCTGTCAGCATCACTGCGGACCCAAACACCGAGAGCTTGTTGCATTGCTTCAGAACTTTGGACCGGCGAAGCCAGCGTGTCAGACTTAGGCCAAACATACACGGGTTCCTTCGAAGCAGCCTGCGAACATGCTCACAGGAAAACCACTTCAATAGCTGACGTACCTTAGGCTTCAGATTGTTTTCGATGCTAAGGGCAACGAAGGGTGGCCAGCTGACGAGCACTTTCGCAATCTCAGTTTTCAACAATCCCATGTCTCGAAGCAACCGGGCCGTGGGCTTCAAGTTCTCTTCGATGCTCAGGCTTAGAACTTGCGGACATCGCACAATCACTTTGGCAACCTCGGCTTTCGACAATCCCAAGTCTCGAAGCCACTGGGCCGTGGGCTTCAAGTTCTCCTCGATGCTGCAGCCGAGAACTTGCGGAAATCGGGCAATTATTTTCGAGACCTCGGCTTTCGACAATCCCATGTCTCGAAGCAACCGGACCGTTGGCTTCAAGTTCTCTTCGATGCTGTAGCCGAGAACTTGTGGAAATCGCGCAACTACTTTAGAGACCTCGGCTTTCGACACTCCCATGTCTCGAAGCAACCGGACCGTGGGCTTCAAGTTCTCTTCGATGCTGTAGCCGAGAACTTGTGGACATCGCGCAACTACTTTAGAAACCTCGGCTTTCGACACTCCCATGTCTCGAAGCAACCGGACCGTGGGCTTCAAGTTCTCTTCGATGCTGTGGCCGAGAACTTGTGGAAATCGCGCAACTACTTCAGAGACCTCGGCTTTCGACACTCCCATGTCTCGAAGCAACCGGACCGTGGGCTTCAAGTTCTCTTCGATGCTGTAGACGAGAACTTGTGGAAATCGCGCAACTACTTCAGAGACCTCGGCTTTCGACACTCCCATGTCTCGAAGCAACCGGACCGTGGGCTTCAAGTTCTCTTCGATGCTGTAGCCGAGAACTTGTGGAAATCGCGCAATCACTTTGGCAACCTCGGCTTTCGACAATCCCATGTCTCGAAGCCATCGGGCCGTGGGCTTCAAGTTCTCTTCGATGCTGCAGCCCAGAACTTGCGGAAATCGCGCAATCACTTTAGCAACCAAAGCCTTTTCGAGCCGCAAGTCTTCCAGGAACTGCATCGTAGGCCGGAGTCTTTGTTCAATGTAGCAGCGTGAGAGAGCTGGACATTTTCCCACCAGTGCTTCTGCTTGCGAAGGCGATAAAGCCAGCCGTGACTGCAGAAACTCTTGCAAAGGAACTGGATCGAACTCAAGCTTGCGGTTCGCTACGGTAGTCTTTGTAAACTCAACTGCTGTGTGCCGGGCGATCCCGCCAGGAGTCTCTGCAAAGGCCTGCAGCCTTGCTCTTAGGTCAGGCCGAAATTCACTTCCCAGTTGGTTCAACAAGAACATAGCGACTTGACGGAGTGCCTTCATCAATGATGCCTCGTGGCCCAGCTGCCACAAGTCGACAACAACTTCTCCCATCTCGCAAGAAAGCTCCTATACCCCGATGGGCATGGGCTATGCGCAACACGTGCGATCCGGCTGGTGCGAAGTGCAGAAGTGCCTTGTTCTTGCGGCTGTCAGCTGCCATCCCTGCTGGCGATAGATGGCGGTAGTAGCCGTCGTACTCCAAAAACAGAGCCGCTTCCTCGGCCTGCAACGCGCCATGCACCGTCAGATCCGGGCTCAAAATGTTCCGACTCCATCCTTCGCTCGGCTGCACTCGGAAGTCTCGGAAGAGCTCTTCGATCCGCTCCTCTGGCTGCAGAAGCACCGCCAGGTGCGAGAGGAGCTCTGCCTCAGCGACGCTGCCCGGCCGCTGCCTGCGATGCCCGTTCTTGAACCAAGCGGGTGGCTGGCATACGGCACACAAACCACTGGCACAGGAGAGGAACGCCAGGACACCCGAGAGAACATGTCCGAAGACTGCCCGTGCCTTCCTCTTCGTCCTAGTCTTCATACTGCCGCGCTCTTGGGCCGCGAGCTTGAGCCGAGCCGGTGGAGAGTTTGGCTCCGATCGGGGAAGGGTCGGACTGGGAGCTCTGGACGAGGCGATGCTCAGCTTCACTATGTCTGGGGGCAAAAAAAGTGAGCCTGACTAGTTTGGGCAGGTTTTGAGATGTTTTGGGTGGGTGAATCATCATTGGGAGCAAAAGGGCTCGGATTCATATTGATAAGCGACTATCGAACCGGCCACATGCCCCTGAACCCCGAAACTCTGACTTGAGCCTGGGGCCAGCTCTACCCAAAGACCCTGAACCTCAAAACCACCCCCCCCCCCCCAAAAAAAAAAAAGAAAACAGCACCTGCATAGTGGTGAGTAAGAGTGCCACCTTAAAATCCCTAAATAGTTGTAGTATACTATAACCCAAAACCCCATTCTATGTGATGCCCAGCCGCTTGGAGGCCGTTGAGATGTGGCCGGTCTGCATGTCCAGGATGAAGCTCTGCACCATCTTGTCCTGCTGGAAAACTTTTGAAGTACTCAAAGCACCTGTAGTCACTGTAGTAAGAATAACGATGATGGTGGTGAGAATAGTGGCCAATAACAATAGTGTCAATAGTATGACTTCGAAGCAGGGATGCACCAAGTACAAGATGTGCTGGTGGGAGTGCTGGTCAATTATGGGGTATTGTGGAATCGTGGGGAGAATGGTCATGGCGCGAAGACTGAACTTTAGAGACTTGACTAGCCTCTCAACAAGTATGCCAACTAGGCATTCACGAATCCAGGTGGCCCCGTGCAGAGCGCACGGTTGGGGGCCGGCTAAAACTTTACGCTTAAAAGCAGTCCGGCACGACCCAGATCTATGTTCACAAGGTCTGTTCGCTCTGCTCAGAAAACCTTCATAACTTGTCACAGGTAGCCACTCAATCGGCACCAATCTTAGAAGCCTGTCTGTTTCTCATTCTTACACGACCATCGGGCGCCTGGCAGGAAGTCTGGACGACCTTTGCATTCTCCACCGCTCCCTGGGCAAGCACGCATCGGCCGCTTCGTGATTCGCGTTTAGCAACCACTTCTCTAGACACTCAGCCAGAAGCCTTTGACCTAAATTCTTTATCGAAGCCACAGGCTCCGGCAAGGTCCAACGTGGTTATGTGTCAAAAGCTGACTTTTGTCAGGAGTCTCGAAGACTATCACCCATCTGCTTCGGGCCTGTTGGTGCCATTCGGACCGCACAAGCCCCAAAGAATCATCGTTCCCCAAACCCCGACCGACAAACTCGCAATCCCTAGTGTAACTCCCTGAACCCTACAGAACCCATGACACCTATGAAACCTTGCAGAACCCTTGCAGAATCTTTACAATACCCTGTTGGTACGCCCTGAATCATGACCAGTGGCAGCATAGGCCAAGCAGCTGCCGCCAAAAGCTGCCTGGCGATCGCTTGGAGCTCGGAGCTTCCGAGGTCGATTACTACCTATACTGTTTTGGCGGCTCCTGAATATACATAGTATATTATACCCCCCAAACCCTATTCTAATTATATTACATCCATTACGGCCCCGATATTACGTAGGATGTCAACCATGAGTTTGGACTCTCGCAACTCGGACTCCGCAGGCGACATTGGCACAATGGGCCTAGGGTTTTGGGCTTTCCTGCGAGGGCTTTGGAGTTTAGGGTGTAGGAGTTTGGCAGTTTGGAGCTCGACGCTTAGAGCTTTATTGGCGTAGGGATACTCTCAAAGACCTCTTTTATACGTCCGCACATGACGCGGAGGGTTCACGACGACTGGGCCGAATACAAACAATGTAGAGGCCTTAAGAATTAGAATAGGGTTTTGGGGAACATCATACTATAATAAATAAAAAACCAGGAGCCCCCCAAAATAGTATTGGTAATCATAAAGGCCCCTATGGAAGTCTACATGAACTTGAAACACAGATCACGACAGTTACTGTGGACTAATTCATTGAGAATTTAGTTAGGTTTTCAAGACTTTCTCGGCCCGTGATACGCAAGCTCTTCCGCCCCTCTGCCCCTCCGCCTGTATTCGCGCCCTCGGCGGTATGGAAGGCAACCTCGTCTTCTCTTCGGCAGTGAGGCTGAGAAATGGTCCGCTGTCCCAATAACTCGAACCACTGCTCGTTAAATGCAAGGTAACTTCGCAAGAGCTACCCCCCTGCCTGTGTGGATTTATAAACAAATGTGTCTATGCATGTATCGAGATTTATTCATTTATGTGTATATATACATATGTATATACACATATTCCCCACATATATGTACAGTGAACCATCCACTGATATTAATTCAGGCAGGTACAGATACGGACATACATACTTACACAACGGCGAACTAGATACAGATACAAGTATGTGATATGCTTATACACATAAGGTCATACATATAAACATATGTGTATGTATATACACAGGTACACAGTGCAACATCATAGCAGGCATGCACCACTGAGTAATTTACTGTCTGACAAGCAACAAGATGCGAAACAAGATAACCTGTAATGGCATACATATACAGTAATATTCTCATGACAGTATGTACTGTGGCATACTGCAAAGCAACACAATATGCCATAGCACAAAACATGATGAGACCTAGTACAATACGAAATTGATATAGTGCAGTGAAAACAGTGCAGTGCTTTAGAATATGGTGCAACCTGGTATCATAGAATAGAACAGAGTTGCATATGGCATGATACACTAGGATACAGTTTATCACCATAGAATACAAAAGAGTATACTGCAATACAACTTAAAGAACATGCTGTAGTTTAACATAGAAAGGTATAGCACAATGAACTCAAAAACCGTGTCACATACTCATATAACGCGAAGAATGTACGACAGTAGACCATGCTATACGATGATTCGCATCATGGAAAAATGCGCAGGAGCGGACTTGGACCGACCGACCAAGCACCGGCTTCAAGATGATCGCAGCTTGAGCTGCTGTTGCTTTAGGGCATGAGCTCTTGCAACAAAGTCGCTGCGTTTCCGGAATGTATATGTCGACCTCAGCTGTCGGCGTAGCACGGCATACATCGCGAAGACACATCATAAGTGAGGGAAGCGGCGAAGTGCCGAATTGGCCACAAGATTATCGCAAAGTTACATGCACTTGAATAGAACATGTACAAACATTTCATTGTAGCAGCCAAAGGCATCCTCTCGAATCAATCAATACTGGCCTCACCAGAACTATTTACTATGTCTCGAGCTGGAATGAAATTCAGGACGGAGTTTGGGATGCTTCTTCCACACGGCACATCTGCATGCCGAACAGCCCCAATCTCTGTAATTTCCTCTCTACCCAGCACAAGCTGATCAAAAGGAAGTGTACTGTAGCTAGCACACTAAGCGGCTCCGCAAGGGAGGGATGCTGAACGCCCTACGACCCTAAGAAACCGAAACCACTGTCTGCTGGAGAAAGGGACAGAGGCACTGAGGTTCGTCAACCTGCGTAGCCAGGAAGATTCCGATAATAACGAGTTTCGTCCAGAATCGACTCTGTTGCTGACCCATCAAGGCGAGGCACGATTAGAGGGCAGGGATTGCTTGTTTGGTTATCATGGGCTTGGATCCTGAAACCAAAACTGCCTCCCTAAATCAACTTGAAACCAAAGATCCACTCGACACCGTCGAATACCGTCTATTTCCAAAAAATCACAGCCTGTGGCCGATCAGCGTGATGGGATCTGCGTCTGTCGTCCAGCTGTTCGTGCGCGGCTGCAGGGCTGGAAGGCTTGGGCTTAAGAGATCCGTAGCGGGACTCAGCGGTTGAGGGTATAGCCGTTGCGGGTTAAGGCTAAGGGGTTATAGGATCCCTAGTTCAGGGATCCGTGCTGGAACAAGCAAAGCGTATGGACACGTGGCACACGTTTGGCAAATCTGTGTGCCTGTCGACTGCCCTACCGGGGCAGATGTGAATCCGGCAGCTTCATCCGAACCGAGAAACTTGAGACTCCCAAAGCTTATATTGAAGACAGCAGATTGGGCAAGTCTTGCACATCCACATCTTAAAATCCACACACACACACACACACACACACACACACACACACACACGCACACACGACGAAATTTTGCGGACTATGCGAGGCGCCACGGCGAAAGTATGTGGGATGCGATGACGTTAATTAAACTTCTACGCCCATTCCCGGCGCCACCTGTTGCACCACGTTTTGCCTCAAAACCAAGTTCGGCGCGTGGCTGGGATCCTCAGTCTGTCTGGAGATAATAAAATAATTACCAATACGACTTTAAGGGGTATTCCTTGCTATGATTATAGTATAATAAGGGGTGCCAAAACCCTATTCTAATTATTAAGGCCCCTATATTCGACTCCTAGACTCTTCTGACTCTACAGCGCATCACATCTTACGACAGTAACAGCTCGCCTTACATGACATCCCTATGCCTTCATCCCCCTCTTTTGATACAAGTTTCTTGGATTGTGGATCTTGGATGGAACAGAATCCGAGACCGCAAAGCACTGCAGCTGAGATGCCCGAGAAACTTGGAAGGAGCCACCATAATCTGCGAAGTAGCTGGGCGTTTCCTGAGCCCAGGCTCCGCGGCTTCGGTCATGGAAGTATGAAGCAATATAGGGGCCTTAATAATTAGAATAGGGTTTTGGGGTCCATGATACTATACGTACAATAAGGACCCCCCAAAAATAGTATTGGTAATTTTTCAGGCCCCTATAGTACTCCACCCAACATCCTGCACGCCATAAACCCAACAACCCGAAACAGAAAGATTCGGGCCATGAGTTTCCAAGTGAGCAAGCAGGACATGTGAGCAGTCCAAGGGGCTTCTTCCAGGTACCTCAGCTATAGAGAATTCTTGCTGATGTGATGGCTTCGGAACCAAGGTTTAGGGTTTTAGGGCTTTGGGGTTCAGGGGCTTAGGGTTTAGGGGTTTAGGGTTTAGGGTAAGATGTTGCAGAACGAATGGCTGAACCTGTTGGACATGTATGTGTGATGCATGTAGGTGGCAAGTCGAAATCGTCCCGGTATGGCAGCGGGAAAGATGCAGCCTGTGACCATTGCCAACTCTCGCAGGAATGACAGCACGCACCGTATATACGCCGTACAGAATAACATAGGCCTCCTTGTCGGCCAGAGACACAACATGCATGTCTCTTCGTGTAAGACGCACCGACCAGGTCTCCGAATTTCAGGGATAGGATAGGAATACCATAGCGACAACTGCAAACGCAACTGTGTGGGAAGCCCAAGAAAGAGGGTGCAATCGTAGACATTGGTCGCAATGCTCCTACTATACGATAATGATGGACACGACAGCCATGATGGTAGTGTTGACCCATCGGTTCGCCAGTACAGCCAGGCCCTTTCAAGGCAGATGCGGGCAGGGGTGTTGGCTGGGTTTCGCCCCAAAGCATGAAGCCACCCGTCCCAGCAGCCAGCTGACATGCGGCTACTGTTGTGCCTTTTGCGTCTGGGAACCATGCCGAGATCAAGAAGGTGAGACGGCCGAGCACCCAGCTGCAAATTCACAGACCGCGCCAAAAAACAGATACCCTACACTGCAGGTAGCTCTCCGGCCTGCCCCGGGGTGGACAAGACTCATCTCCGACAGAAGAGAACCACGAGAAAATAACGACCCTAGATGGATCGCAAGGGCTCCAACCCGAACTCGCCTTGGCTGCTCGGCACGTGTAAAGGTGAAACAAGTCTGAAGCTCCGGCCGAAAGATGGTACACTGACCTGCGGACTGAAATCGCGAATCACCTTCTGAATGTGCTGAGACAAAATTTCACCACCCGAAGCAGGAGCGGGAGTCGTAGTGGTAGCCGTCGTGGTGGTGGCAGTTGTAGTAGTAGCAGTAGCAGTGGCAGTAGCAGTAGCGGTGGCCGTAGCAGTGCCAGTAGTACTAGCAGTAGTAGTAGCAGTAGTAGTAGCAGTAGTAGTAGTAGTAGTAGTAGCAGCAGCAGCACCAGCAGTAGTAGTCGTTGTTACTAGTAGTAGCAGCCGCAGTGCAGTCCTCGCCGTCGCAATATCAGTAGGTATGATAAGCAGCAAAAGCAGTCGAAGTGAGGGTAGTAGGGCTTTAGCAGCAACAGCAGATGTCCCTGAGCAGAATTCGCAGCAGTGGTTGGTAATTAGTCTCAGACGCCCTGAATGCGGCATGACAAGTCCCACGCAAGGCTGTGCTTGACCATGAAAGAGAGTGTCAGCAATTTGGTTCTTGTAGAGAGCCGTTTTATGATGCAGAACGTTTGTGCCACTCACACTTCAGACTACGATAGACCTGTGACTTTGCAACCCCTCTGTCGACAAAGCCACACTGTTTGCATGCACCGGTAGCAAAGCCGTGAGCTGCAGGGCACGGACTCTGAGAAACCTGCCGCTCGTCCTTGACTCTTTAAGAGCTCAGGACAGAGCTAGAGTGGCCCTCATCCAGTCGAGGCTCGTGTGAGTTTTGCACTTGGGCACAGCGACAGCACTGCTTTCTTAAGGAAATTGGTTTAAGAAACTGAGCCTTCCGGCAGCTGCGCGCAACAAACAAGACTTGAAGCTTGCGCACATTGAACATCGAGGGTACCCTGACCTCGGCATGGCAAGTTATTGCCTTACTCTTGTCGCACATTCTGTACTTGTTTTCTTCGCTCAAAACAACGCCGAACTAAGAAACTTAGCGGTAGGGCTTGGGCGACGTGTGGAAAGACACCCTGAGGGACCTTTACCACCTGATGCATGCTCTTGCCCACTGAAGCTTTATTGTGTCATAACAGACCAGAAATCACCACATTTACAAATTGAGGGCTCGATCTGTTAAAGATACGAAATTGCGGAGCTCAATCTCTTGATATTTGTGCCGAACAAGAGATTGGCAAAGGCTTCCGTATGGCTTAACAGCGCTTGATACCGGCCTTATGGGCTATAGAAGGGGTTTGGTAAGGCTTTTACTCCGGCACAGAAGGGGTTTGTCATAAGAAGCAAGAAGCCGAAATTGAAGGGCTCGATTTCAAAGAGATTCAGGAGCTCAATTTTCTTGCGGTGATCCGGGCGTGCCTAGTCAGAGTTTCATAAGGGCTTACGCTGAGACTGAAACCCTGCTGTTTGAGGATGCAGGAACTCTCAAACTATAATTTAGGGGCCCAAATATGTATCAATACCATTGCTCAGAGTTGCTTGACGCAGCTTGACTTCAAAATGCCCCGAAACCCTATTTATCTTTAATCAAGCCCTGTGATAAATATGAAGGAGGCCCTGTGTTTCCCATATACGACATGTGGATGAAAGTTCGACCGAACCAGTTTTAGGAATTTCATGTACAGATGGCGCGATGTCAAGGATCTGTTCTATAGCAGGGCTTGTAAATAACATGCTGTAGCGTTTCCCGAAACCTTTATTAAGTCCAGAGCAAAGCCGTATCAGACCCCGTCTAGAGCCTATAGAGACCGAACAAAGCATTGTTAAGCCATGAGAGCAGAATCTGTATAGCTTGACTCTCTAGGGCCTTAGGGTTCAGGCGGCACCAGCTTAACAGGCTGTACTTACATTCGAACTTCATTCTTCTGAAGGGGCTCGGATGAAGATGAGAGATGCGCTCACGAAGACCTTGATCTAGGCGGCACCCCGTAGTTCGGACTCCAGCTCGAGATGTCGCAACCATGCAAGCGCCAAGGGCTGGTTTTGGGGGGCTTATACATACTGCAGAATGATGCTTTACTGTAGGGCCCGGTTTCTTGAATGCAAGAAATTAAGGGCTCAATTTCTTGATTTGGGAGGCTTGGATTTGCTAGGCGCCCTCAAGTCTGGAAGGACTTTCCGTGAACGAAAACGCGCCAAAGGTAAGAAATCGAGTGTGCCCTCTCCTAAAAATAGCCGCTCCTTAAGCAAGCACCTTTCACCTTTACCATAACACGACGAATTTCTACTGCGATCGCATTCCGTTTCTACCGGGCAGAGTAGACTTTCTCTTGGCCTGACTTCGACATGCTGGCAGGCGAATGTGATCTGTCAGGAGCGCCCTCCTTCGGACGAGGGCCATCGGCAAGAAAAGGTGAAACGAGCATGAAACTTGTCGGGCTTCTGACCTTATCAGCATCTCTTGTCTGAGCACTACGAGCCTTTTGACTTCTTCTGGGTTTGTTGCTTCCACGAACCTCACACCTTTGCTCCTACACTCCTACCTCTAAGCTGATGCTCTACTCGGAATTATGAATATTATTTGACTATTTCCTAGTTACCCGGAGGACACAGAAGCGCTCCTAAGCTGAGATAACCCGGGGACGCCGAAGTTGAGAAGCTGACAGCAGGTCTGCTTCCGTCACGCATTGCTTTGACGGGAGCGCACTCTCAGTACTTGAACCAGCGCCTTAGGTGTAGGGCCCTAGGGTGAATCCTCAGGGCCTCTTGGAAGATTTGCTACTCACTTTGCTCGAGGTTGGATATGCCGGTAGCGACACGAGCGACAGGTTTAAGATTTAGGGCAGTTGAGGCAGTTGAGGCTCAGGGTTTGGGATTCGGGCACATACGAAATTCCAACGAGGAGTATGAGTCAAATTATGTTACTTTGGGGGCCGAGCAACTGGGGCATTTAGAGTAAGCTGACTATAGTTAGGAATACTTGTAGCGTTTAAACAAGCGCATAGTCTGCCACTGCATGTCTAATGAGTCTTATGGGCTGGAGTATTTCGGCTGTCTTTCCATATCCACCCAGCCACCTCTCGTTCGTGATGATGTCGTATTTCACCGAGTTCTGGGAATCGCCTGCCGGACGGCTCAGCAGCAAATCTTTCAAGGGGCAGAAACAGTGGTAGTAGTGCTGCTGCTAGTCCTGCAAAGACCAAGACCACCCACTACCACGACAAAAGTTGCTTGCTCCTGCTGCCGCTCCGCTAGCTACAACTGCCAAGGCGACAGCGACGACGACTAGTGACTAGAGCAAATGCAACCAGCAGAGTTCCGACGACTGCAACAAGAAGGACAACGACCGCGACAATCATGACAGAGATGACACGACGAGCACCACCATCACTACAACAACAGCCCGAACGACGCCACCAGTCAGCAATGACAGTATAGCAACTGAACAACTAACGACAGCAGCCAGAGCAGCAGCAACAACGACAACAACACCTCTTCACGATTCACGATGTCCCCTGATCGCCTACCCGCGGGCGCATGTAGAAGGGATCGGCTCTAGTCAGCTTGTCCGCCGCGGAGTAGTGGTTGTTAGCCCGCGCAACGCCCTCGGAAAGACCGTGGCCCGAGGTCTAATATAGGGCACTAAAAAATTGAACAGGGTTTTGGGGCATATTATACTATATAGATACAATAACCGAACCCCGAAAATTAAGTTGGTAATTGTTTAGGCACTATATGATGTACAAACGATTGAACAAGTGCACCGGTGCTATGGACACCTTGAGGATCCCAGCCGGGCTCTTTATGAGAAGCTGCTTCGAGAAGTTTGCTTGAATTCACATCTTCAAACTGGACAGACAAGGTACGCGATCCAGGAGAAGCAATACAAGCAGTAGCGGCCTTCAATGGGGGAGTGAAGATGAGACATGCAGCCTGTCTGGTGAGGTTCAGCCGGCTTGTATTTTTGCAAAACCACATAGCCTATGATGAGCAAAAGGTGCTTTCAGAACATTATGACTGAGACCGGAAATATCGAAATCAGAGTACCAGAAACTCTCTTCGAACATGCCCAGAAAACTCAAACCTGACTGTGCAACAACGCTAAAACGAACACATATCGTGACTCCTTCCTTATTGGCTCCAGGACGCAAATATTGGCCAAGACTCTAGACCCGATAAGGACCTCACCCGCATGCAAGCGTCCTGTCCTACCTACCATTCGCGAATTGTCGCGCGATAAAGGCCCTGAAGCCCACAACCCGTCAAAGCGCTTACCCAGAGGCTCCATAGTACTTCCTTTTTGGGATTACCTTATAGGTTTCCAAATATGAACCCCCCGAAAGGAACTACTATGGAGCCTTAGGGTAGCCACAGCCGGGGCACAAAGTCAAAGTTCTCCAGGCGGCTCACCGAGAGATGT